ACAAGCACGCGGCATCCCCTCATCAATAGGAACTGGGTCACGATGTGGTCGCAATGCAGGAAAGTACTCGTATATCCAAGTCTGCAATAGAGTCAGACACCCAGTGATACCTGCCGCGTCAGCCCGACTCGCAAATCCTAGTTGGCGATACAAATACGCCAACGTAGCCGATCCCCAGGAAAACTGGCCTACACTGTCGGGGTCACACGCCTCTACGATGTCGCGTGGCCTGAGCTTGTTTCCGCCGCTCTTATCCGGAAACAAGGTACATCCGAGGAGTAGAAAAACATAAGCACTCAGCTGTGCGTCGGGCGTCCTACGTGCACTCGGGTACAAACACCGCTGCAACACAGATGCGATCTTCACACCTCCGTGTTCCCAAACACCTAGCGCCTCGGTGTACAGTGAAGCCCTGTCCACCGCCAACAACTCCGCCAGCGAATCTGCCTGATCCGCATCAGCCACAGCACAAAGTCGTTTACCCTCAACACGAATCCCCAGAATGGCCTCGACGTCATGTAACATGATCGTCATCTCACCGAACGGAAGGTGAAAAGAGTTTGTATCCGGCTGCCATCGCTCAATGAAAGCCGTGATCAGCGTACTGTCAATCTTATCGTGCATGGTGGCAGGAACGTGCTTCACCCCAGTGCCCTCCAGTCGCTCGAACATCTCGCTCTCCGCCGGCCAGGCCTCAGCCCATGTACGCAAAAAACTACAAGTCTTTTCCCGGGTATGACATTTCAACAACCCCGTAACTGAAGGCCTCTCCTGGTCCTCCCAAATACGGGCAGCTATGTGTCCTAGAAAGCTAGGAATCACACTCCCGTCAACAGGCCCACCGGGCACCTCACTCCTAACAACCCAAGAATCATTACCCGCCCTCGACCGTTTCCTGCTTGCCCCAGAGACAGTGGACGCAGATGATGTGCCAGATCTACTAACAAACCTACCACCCCTACCCTTACGCACCTCCACCATATGCGTCTCGTACATGTCATCAACCCTCTGACTGAATGGACCGTAATCATCATACGGTCCACTGCCATCGTCCACATCCTCATCCTCATCTGCGCCCTCCTCCTGCTCCTCCTCCTGGTCACCCTCCTCAGCATCATCATCGTCATCGTCATCCTCATCCCGACGGTGGATCCGTTCTCTACGAACTGAGGCCGAAATACCACGGGATCTGACATGTCTATGCCCCGACCTCTCCACTGAATAACTTCTACTAAGAAGCTCTATATTCTTCCCCCCACCATGACGACCCTACACAAAATTTTAAAATATATAAACATACAAAAATTTATACGATAAATAATCATCATCGCAAATCAAATACACTAAAAACAAACAAATAATAGTAAACAAAATATAAACGTAGAAAAAATACAACGAAATTGAAAAAATTTATAAAAATAAACAACAAAATATAAAAACAATTCAAATTTATATTACAAAAAAAAAAAAAAAAATTTAAAAACAATTTTTTAAAAAAATTAAAAAAAAAAAAAAAATGGGGGGGGGCGCCCTGGCTGGACGCCCAGCCGGCGGTGGTGGCGCCAGATGCAGACGCCGCCACCAGTTGGCTGGCGTTTGGGCTGGACGCCACAGCCACGGCTGCGGCGCTTAGACTAAACGCCACAACCGTGGCGGTGGCGTCCAGCCCAGGCGCCAGCCAACTGGTGGCGGCGTCTGCATCTGGCGCCACCACCGCCGGCTGGGCGTCCAGCCAGGGCGCCCCACCGCGTTCACGGCGGTTTTCCCCTTTTTTTTTTTTTTTTTAAACAAAATATACCTTTCCACCTTGGGACATCCTTCCCTCCGCCGCCGCCGCCACTTCCTTGCCTTGCCGCCTCGACATTGCCGTTATTTTGAATTTTTTTTTTTTAGAGAGGTTGAAAGAAGATGAGCAATGAGAGTGTGAGTGATGAGAGTGTGAGTGTTTTTTTTTTTTAAGGTCAAGGGCAATTTTGGGAAACCAAGTGAATTTTGTGGGCTTTATGTAGTAATTTGTGGGCGATGTTTAACAAATCCCTTTTTTATTAATCTGCTTATTATTATGTGTGTTACCCGGACATTTTTCCGGGTTATACTTTAAATAATTTTATTTTTTTACTAGATGCTTTAAAATACTTATTAATTTTTTAATGTGGATAAATAAGAATATAGTAACAAAATTAATTTATTTTGGAATTTTTTTGGTTTTTAATTTACATTCTAATACATGTATCATGTATGTATTTATATATATATGTGGATTAATAGAATGTGATTTAATTTTAGCTAAGACGGTAATACATGTGGTTTCTAATCGATGAGCTTTGAGGTTCAATTCAAATGCATTTTTTTTATTAAGATTATTGAATGTGGATGTGACATGATGTAAAAGGTTGTTAAATGGTGACGTGGCATTATACTAGTGTAGGGATACACGTGGCACATACACAAATTTATAAACGCCTTTTAATATATAGTATAGATTAAACCATGTGGTTTATACTTATATATATTTCTTTTTCATATTTATAACATGTTTGATAATTAGCTTAGATGGTTAAATAGTCAATTTTGTTGTAAGTGGTATGGGGTTCAAATCTTCTTATCCATGTTTAGATGTGATGATGTGGCGCTATCAAGTGTTTGTGAAGCGATGTGGCGTAATTTGAAAAAGTCTACGTGGCGCATGGACGTTTTTATAAACGTCTTTTATTAGTAATAAATATTACTTTTTTTTCCTTTTTTTTTGAAAGAATTATTATGGAATATTACTCCGTAGTGTTGTTGTCGTCGTTGTTATTGTTATGGACCATTTTTAACCATAAAATTTCGGTAGCTAGCAAAAAAAAAGTTACATGTACTCGAATATTTAGTATATGTCCTATACGGCTATACGAGTATGTTTCTATGGAGTCATATTCGTAGGGAAGGAATTAGATGAACTCTCTATTGTGTGATGTTTAACATTTCGCAATAAATTGATACTCCCACCTCAATATACTCTCTCTATCATTTTTTTTTTTATTATACATGTTTTGTTATTAAACATTTTTACCATTATTATACTTCTTTTAATTTATATAGATTATATTCATAATATACTTGGTGTTAAAAATTTAAGTTGACAAAAGTATCCATAACACAAGTAGTTTAGTAGTTTAGATGTGATGATGTGGCGCTATCAAGTGTTTGTGAAGCGATGTGGCGTAATTTGAAAAAGTCTACGTGGCGCATGGACGTTTTTATAAACGCCTTTTATTAGTAATAAATATTACTTTTTTTTTTCCTTTTTTTTTGAAAGAATTATTATGGAATATTACTCTGTATTGTTGTTGTCGTCGTTGTTATTGTTATGGACCATTTTTAACCATAAAATTTCGGTAGCTAGCAAAAAAAAAGTTACATGTACTCGAATATTTAGTATATGTCCTATACGGCTATACGAGTATGTTTCTAAGGAGTCATATTCGTAGGGAAGGAATTAGATGAACTCTCTATTGTGTGATGTTTAACATTTCGCAATAAATTGATACTCCCACCTCAATATACTCTCTCTATCAATTTTTTTTTTTTATTATACATGTTTTGTTATTAAACATTTTTACCATTATTATACTTCTTTTAATTTATATAGATTATATTCATAATATACTTGGTGTTAAAAATTTAAGTTGACAAAAGTATCCATAACACAAGTAATTTAGTAGTTTAGATGTGATGATGTGGCGCTATCAAGTGTTTGTGAAGCGATGTGGCGTATTTTGAAAAAGTCTACGTGGCGCATGGACGTTTTTATAAACACCTTTTATTAGTAATAAATATTACTTTTTTTTTTTCCTTTTTTTTTGAAAGAATTATTATGGAATATTACTCCGTATTGTTGTTGTCGTCGTTGTTATTGTTATGGACCATTTTTAACCATAAAATTTCGGTAGCTAGCAAAAAAAAAGTTACATGTACTCGAATATTTAGTATATGTCCTATACGGCTATACGAGTATGTTTCTATGGAGTCATATTCGTAGGGAACGAATTAGATGAACTCTCTATTGTGTGATGTTTAACATTTCGCAATAAATTGATACTCCCACCTCAATATACTCTCTCTATCAAGTTTTTTTATTATTATACATGTTTTGTTATTAAACATTTTTACCATTATTATACTTCTTTTAATTTATATAGATTATATTCATAATGTACTTGGTGTTAAAAATTTAAGTTGACAAAAGTATCCATAACACAAGTAGTTTAGTATTTCCTCCGTTTTTTTAAATATTTTATCACTTGCCTTTTAAATAAATTTCACAAATATTGCACCATATGCATTTTAGGAAAGAAATTATTTGTGTTCACATTACAAATACCTTATATACTTTTACTTTTTAACACTTCATTCTTTAGTTTATGTTTACAATTAATGGGCAATTTTGTAATTTTACCTTTCTCTCTCTTCCTTTTTCTCTCTACCAAAAATTTATGTCCAACCCTTATGGTGCAATATTAAAAGAACGGAGGAAGTATATACTTCCTCCGTTTTTTTAATATTGCAACAATTTGACTTTTACCCTATTCATCACGCTTGTTTGACCACATATTATGATTAATACGTAAAGTAAAATATAGTCATATGGAGTCTTGTTAGATTCGTCTTGTAAAATATTTTCACAATATTAATTTTTTATAATTTTTACTTTTACATAATTATAGATATTTTGCATATAAAATGTGTTTTGAGATGCGTACTTTCATCTTTGTTATAATATTTATGGAAGAGGAGAACTATTTTTTTAAGACTTTTAAAATATGCGTCTTTGAAAATATTTACAAGTGACTAGGCTAACGTCCTAACGAATATATCCACAAGCAAGATGGTGGTGAGTCTTCATCATACCGACGACTATTGACCCTCATCAATCCACAACTTCAGGTCAATGCGCATAAAACAAATCACTATATTTAACTGGATGCATATGAGGCTGGAGAATTAAGGATGAAATGAAGTATGGCATTTTGCACGACAAATGCAATACATTAAACATGCTTAAGATGTGACAAGTTAATTTCTTATCTTAGCTGCAAATGATACATAAACACAATGGAGCAACACAGGGACATGTCCCTTTACTAGGTCCTAAAACCTTCTTCTTAGTTCAGCATTTGAGCTTCATCCATACACATCTATTCCCCAGAACTTCTCTGTTTGAATGGTCCGGTATTTGCGATCCATGCTTTTGATCTCTTCCATGTCTTCTTCTGTCAGCTCAAAGTCTAGAGCCTGGAAGTTCTCCTTCAATCTATCTAGCTTGGATGACTTTGGTATGACAACTGTATTGCGCTGGATCCCCCATCGAAGAGCAATCTGTGCTGCTGTCTTTTTATGTTTCTCCGCAACACCCTGATAAAAAGGAACAGGATTAGATGCAGTGGCCAAACCAGATTCAAAATGGAAGTCCTAATCTCAGGAAATAATCATAATTTAAAGTTAGTCCATCACTCCTCTGTACACCTTCCCAAACGATTTATTTGAAGGTGCCTAAGCCTGTATGCAGCTTCCTTTACGAGTGCTTTCCATGCAATGTTTCTATTAAAACTAGAGGCATAAGATGCAACTGAAACAAGACAATATTCGCGTAACACAAGGAAACACTTACCTTAATAATTGGATCATCCAAGCAGCACACTGTACCAAACAATTCAGTGTTTGTAGCAGCACCTCCTAGAGGAGTATGGGCAGTAACACAGATTCCATGCTTCTGACAGAATTTCACCAATGAATCGCGTTGAAAGTAAGGGTGTATTTCAATCTGGTTCACAGCAGGCTTGACTTTGGAATAGGCTAAACAATCTCTTGTCTGAAAGATGTTATAGTTGCTGCAACCAGTTTAAAAATTTAGTAATCTAAATTAAAGATCCTAAACTATTACGAATAAAAATGTATCCATGACAAGCACAGGAAAAAAGCAGCGGGAATAAGGTTTCAAGTAGCATCATCAGAGTTACCTGATGCCAATGCTGCGAGATAGACCTGCATAAACGAGATCTTCCACAGCATGCCAGGTAGTCTCCAAGGATATGGTTGTGTCAATGTCCAGCACACCATCCTCATCCAATACACTTGCAAAGGTAATAACTCCTGCAAGAACATTGTACAGAAAAGATTAGTTTGCATCACTATAATATCAGTTGATACATTCCAACATAAGTCCTCTGAAAAGCTACAAGAGAGGATTTTCATCAGTATCCTCAGCTCTCTTTCAGTGAATATGAGATGCCTAAACTCAAAATGCATAATACAGTATATGCGCACTACAACTAATGTTCATAAACCAACTGCACAAAAAAACCTATTATACAAGTAACATTTTTCATGCATGTTACATCCTAGACATGCCTAGCTACTGACCATTTATAATTACACATGTATGAGACTATTTATATTGCTCTTATCCATCTCATACCACTGCACAAAAAAACTAACTTCGTAGTAGTCTGATTTTCAGCCATCTGTTGTCCCCAACATAAATGTAGAAAATACGCAATACTCCATCATTGACGAGTCAAGAATTTGAAGTTTACCAGTATGCTTTGTAGCTAAGGGTAAGTGAACTAGGTACAGATCCAAATAATCAAGTCGAAGTTTCTTCAAACTGTCTTTGCAGGATTCAAGTACATGTCCATGCTCAGAGTTCCACAGCTGCAATAACATTGATAAATGGGTGTAATCGAAATCTGGTAACCAAAATTCTTCCCAATATTAGAAACTTTGTCCCCCTTTTTTCGCTTTGCAAATAGACTGACTGACCTTAGTGGTAATGAAAAGATCCTCCCTCTTAACAAGCCCAGTTTGAAATGCTTCAGCAAGTGCTTCCCCAACTTCAGCTTCATTCTGGTAATAAGCTGCAAGAATTACCCTGTTACACATTATATCTTATCAACAAAAAGAGCTTAAGATAATAGAAATACATAGTAATGAACATGATCTAAGGCTCTTGTTATCACGCATTTAAGGTCACAAACCTCACTGCTGAGCTAAGAAGTGCTCACGTTAGTTTGTTATGGTCTCAACACTAGCTTATCTTGGCTTATTAAATAATTAAAGTCTTCAACCAACCTTGAGCTTTACTCAAGCTAAATTAAGCTCATTATCACCCGTACGGGTTACAATTAAAACCGGTATTTGATATTGTATCAAACTATCAATTATGAGTACAAGACACATCAACACACCTTACAGGTAACATACCTAAAGGCATCATCTCAGACCGAAACCACATGAACAACTATAATCGCCCGACACACATGGAGACCCTTAACTACTTGGAATTTACCTTTTTGGTCTTATAAATACTCAGCCCACCACATTTTAAAGGTACGAAACATTTATTACAAAAAGGCATTCAATTTATCCTGTAAAATTGAATTAAATTCACCATCAGAGCGAATTTCCTCACACCACTCCCAAATTCCCAATGGAATTTGACTTATATTGACTCTGCAAGTGTCCAAGATCGACAAGAGACTCATACCGGCCCTAAACAAGTTTCCCACAATTCCATAAATACCCCGGAACATCACCCTTAGCTTAAAATGGCAAAGTGTACACATCCCTATACTAAGGGGCCGTTTGGTTCACAGAAGAGAATCGGAATGAAATGAACAACGTGAATGAAATGGAATGGAATGGCAAAGTGGAAAATTTGGAAGGTTGTTTGTTACAAAAACCAGGGAATCATTCCCTCCACCACAGCACCACCACCACAGCGCAGCTCCGACCGCCGCCGAACCCTCACAGAACTCCGCCAACCGTCGCCGACCCATCCCCGACCGTCGACGACCGTCGCCGACCATCCAGCCCCCATCGCCGACCGTCGAACTACTTCCCCGATGCTCCAGCCCCCCTCCCCGATGCTCGAACTCCCTCGCCGACAGTCGCGCCCCCCTCGCCGACGGTCGCTGACCCCTCGCCGACCCTCCAGCCCCCCTCGCCGACGGTCGCTGACCACCACCGACCACAGCACCACCTCGAACTCCCTCCCCGATGCTCCAGCCCCCCTCCCCAACGCTCGATCTCCCTCCTCCACCACAACACCACATCGCCGACCACTCCCCGGTGCTCGCCGAGCCTCCCCGACCACTCCCCGGTGCTCGCCGACAGTCGCCGTCCGACCACCACCGACGTATATGGGTGTTAGTGTTAGGGTTAGGGTTAGGGTTAGAGTGGGTGGGGAATGGAATGGGAAAGTGGGGGGGGGGGTGGGGAATGGGGAAGAGGGGTTTTGGGGTATTTTGAAAAATGAAATGGGGGAATGATTGAGGGAAAAAGTGGCAAACAAACAGGTTGAAAGGGAATGATTCCCATTCCCTTTCCTGAAACCAGCGAACCAAACTCACCCTAACAACTTACACCAACAATTACTCAGTTATTGCCAAAGTGCAACATTGGACATACACACCGACACACGTACAATCAAATCAAAAGCAGACTAATAAAACACTAAGCATAACTAAAATCTCAATTAACCCGATTAACAAAGGTAAAATAAGCATAATTACATGCATTTGCTCAAACTAAATTAGAAAAATACAACCAAATTTAGTTAAATCAAACACGAATTAATATGATTTAATACGGTTTACAAAAAGCAAATAACAACAGATAAACCACAAAATCCCCATAAAAATGACACCCAGAAAAAATTTGTATCTGGGTATTTGCTAAAATTGCAACTTTATCAATAAGAAAAGAGGAAGAGAATACCAGCACAATCAAAGTAACGATAGCCGATTTTAATGGCATTAAGAATAACATCTTTGACATCATTCTTTTCCATTCTCCAAACTCCAAGTCCGATTATGGGCATTTTGAATCCATTGTTCAATTTTATCGCCATTTTTTTTTTTCTCTGTTTTTCTTTCTTACTGTTGTTGAAACTATGATCATTATTATCAGCACTAATATAATAATGTTGCTACTAAAACATGAGATTATTACTTTATATGTGTGACGTGCTGTTATAGTTTTGCCTGCTAGCAATTTTGTCAGTTCATAAATGGGATCACAATGAGTCTAGTCTAGTATAAAAACAAATATTTTATTCAAACGCACGATTTTTACCGAATTTTATAACCAATCTATAATAAAGATATACAAGTAACCAATATGGATGTATTAGAAATTGTAATAAAGAAATAATGCTTAAGAGTTCCAAAGATGCGCCAAGTTTGATCTTTTAATCTTAGCTACAAATGGTACATATACTAGACATATCCCTTATTCCGTTATTCTTAGTTCACCACTTCAGCTTCATCCATACACATCAATGTTAGGATTAGTGTGGAGATAGATAAATACATGGAGACATAAGGAGATTGCATAGAAGCTGCCTTATTGTTAAGGTTCGACCAAACTTGTGAAAAGTTCGGTCGAACCCGGTTTTAAGTCAGTAGGTGCACCAGTTTTCATTTCTAGAGGAGGAGTGACCAAACCCAAGGAGGTTCGACCGAACCACCCTAGGTTCGACCGAACTCTGGGTAGGTTCGGCCGAACCTCCCTGCTCCCTATTTTGTCGCTTCGTTTTCGGCTTGTGCGATTTGCTTTAATCTTAGCCGTTGGATTGTATTTTCTACCTAGACTATATATACCTTTTCTAAGCCTCTTTGTTGAGTATTCACAAACATTTAAACACATAGAGAGGTTTTGAGAGGGTTTGTGAGGAGCATTTGAATTCTATACAATTCATGCTTGTAATTCTTGAGTTCATTCATCATCAATATTACTCCATAGTGCAAGGGTGGGTTTTTTTCTCCCGGTTCTCGGGTTTTCCCACGGTAACATTGTCTTCCTTTTACTTGCTTTAATTCCTTCAAAGTTGTTCTTGATTGTTATGCTTGTTTGTTCATTGCTATTGTGGGTTGATTGCAAGTTAGTTGAACACTTTAATCACCACTTCAGCTTCATCCATACACATCAATTCCCCAGAACTTTGCTGTTTGATGGGTCCGGTATTTACGATCCATGCTTTTAATCTGTTCCATGTCTTCTTCTGTCAGCTCGAAATCTAGAACTTGAAAGTTCTCCTTCAATCTATCTAGCTTGGATGACTTTGGTATGACAACTGTATTGCGCTGGATCCCCCATCGGAGAGTAATCTGTGCTGCTGTCTTTTGGTGTTTTTTTCGCGAGACACTGATCATAAAGAAACGGGATTAGATGCACGGTTGCCAACCAGATTCAAAATGAATTATACTTGTTTGATGTCTCCCTCAACCTTCCAGAAAAAAGGATATATTTCCTTGTAATCTTGTATTCTTGTCATCTCACATAGTCATGGACTTGTAGTCTTTGCAAAAGCATCCCAGATATTTGCAAGACATTTCATACAGTGTACATAATTTAAATCATTCCATATAACTCACTCCAGAAATCCTCTTTGCAGGAATAAAAGAGATTATAATTAACAGTTACTCCTTTGTAGACCTTCACAAACGATTCGTTTAAAGGCGCCTAAGCCTTGGTGCATTTACGTCTGCTTTCAGTACAATCAAATTAAAGGTGTTGAGTGTTGACATGGTTCCATTAAAAACTAGAGGCATAAGAGCATATGGAAATACTAACCTTAAGAACTGGATCATCCAAGCAAGATAGTGATCCAAACCATTCAGTGTTGGCAGCAGCACCTCCTAGAGGAGTATGGACAGTAACACAGATTCCATGTTTTTGACAGAATTTTACCAGGGAATCACGTTGGAAATACGGATGTGTTTCAATCTGGTTCACAGCAGGCTTAATTTTGGAATACGCTAAACAATCTTTTGTCAGAAAGAGGTCATAGTTGCTGCAACCAAATTAAGTAATTAGTAATCTAAACACCAGAGTTCAGACTCCCAGCTTCATTCCTATAGACTCCCAGCTTCATACTAGGAGAACATCTATAGCACTATAGAAAATAATGAGATGTGAAGCGAATGGCAAAAAAAAAAAAAAATCAGATATGTTGCAATTCAGTCAAAAATAGTTTGAATATGGAAGACATTAATAGGCCTCATACAGCAAGTTCCTCAGAGGGTGGAGCATTACCCTTGCGTTATTACATAACTACAAGTAATAAGACGTATTTAAGGACTAAGTAACTAATAAGATGTCTCTATATGCAAGACAGCGAAAAACACAGCCCATAAGAAATAAAAAAATAAATAACAGTAACAAGACCACACCTTTCACTTCAAAGTGATCAGACAAAATCATATAAGGTTTCAAGTAGCTTCATTTGAGTTACCTGATACCAATGCTTCGAGCTAAACCCATAGAAACAAGATCTTCCATGGCATGCCAGATGGTCTCCAAGGATAGGGTAGTGTCAATATCCAGCACACCATCCTCATCCAATGCACTTGCAGTGGTACCAACTCCTGTAAGAGCATTGTACATAAAAGCTTAGTTTGCATCACTAAAATTATCAGTTGATATATATCCTACATGACTCTTCTGAAATCCACAAGAGAAGAATATTGTCGGTATCAGCTTTTTCAGTGAATTTGAAGCGCCAAACTCAAAACATATAATACAGTATGTCAGTGTATGAGCAAAGCAACTACTGGCTTAAGGATATTAATCAAAATTTTAATCGAAAAGAGTCTTCATGTAACATCCTAGACATGCATAGCTCTTGAACATTTACATATTCTATATACAAGTATGAAACTATGAGTCTATGAATCTTGCTTTTATCCATCTCATAACACTGCCAAAAAAAAAAAAATTGCAAATCATCATTCAAGAGGCAAGAATTTGATTTTTACCAGTATGCTTTGTGGCTACAGGTAAGTGAACTAGGTACAGATCCAAATAATCAAGTCGAAGTTGCTTCAAAGTATCTTTGCATGCTTCATGTACATGTCCATGGTCAGAGCTCCACAGCTGCAATAGGATTATACATGATAAATGAGTGTAAATGTCATCCGGTGATCAGAGTTTCTCCCAAAATTAGAAACTTTGTCCTCATTTGACCTTAGTGGTTATGAAAAGATCCTCCCTGTTAACAAGCCCATTTTGAATTGCTTCAGCAAGTGCCTCCCCAACCTCAGCTTCATTCTGATAAAAAGCTGCAAGAATCGTACCCGATTACACATCGTAATCTTATCAGCAAAGACAGTAAGATAATTGTACATTGTCATGAATATGAGAGTTTTCTACTTGTCGTTCAAGGCTTGTACATGTAACAATGGCTCTGAAATAAAACAACCCTAGACTTTGTGAACTTAAGTCATTCTGAAACAAGAAACAGAACCATAATCACACAACAGCATCACAAGATGAGGCCTCCGTTCATGACCTGGTCAGAAGCTCAGAATGAGGGGTGATAAGAAGCCGAGCAAGCTCAAGCTCATAATTGAACTCATGCTCAAGCCAAACTCAATTACTAAATCTTTTTTGTCCATTTCCAACCAAATGAACCTAGCATATACTTTCAAGTTATGATATTCCTACTTCCAACTCTTTGCCAGTATTATAAGACTTTCATAACAAAGTTTGTAAAATCCATTTTTATCATAACTCATCTACTCGTTTCAATCCAAACAATCAATCATAGATTCCAGCTTTGCTGAGCAAAGTGGTGCAGTGGTACACAGCTTAGTACGTTAGTCTCAGACCAAGCTTGAGCTTCACACGAGCTCACTAAAATCGGGTTTTGACCGGGCTGATCTGGTAGCTAGCAAACAGGCAAGGCTCACCAACAGTCCTTTAGTAACAACTTGCACAGAAACAACTATTTCCCAAAGTGCAACAATACACATGCACAATTGAATTAAAAATAGACTAAAACATGAATTCTTACAAAAATTCAACCCAATTAACACAAGTGAAATAGGCATAAATCAAATGGACTTGCTTCAAATTAAAGTAGTCAAAATTCAATTAGTTTTGATAATTCAAACACTAATTTATTTTATTAATTCGGCATGCAAAAACTTATATAAAATCCCCATAAAAATAACGCCCAGAAATAATATTAAAACCATAGTTTGACCCCTAAGATTAATTAATTATAGTATTAAAAAATACAAGCACATTAAGAAGAAAAAAAGGGGGTGGCATTTGCTGCTTAACAATTAGAGAGAGAAAATACCAGCACAATCAAAGTGACGATAACCGATTTTAATGGCGTTGAGGATGAGATTTTTGACGTCCTTGTGATCCATTCGCCAAACTCCGAGTCCAATTATGGGCATTTTGAATCCATTGTTCAGAATGGCATTTTCGCCATTTCTCTTTCTTTTTCTTTCTCTAACTCCATTAACAACATACTTGTATACTTTAATTTTTGGTGTTTTTTGTGTGCACGATATTTCATGCATCAGACATGCACATAACACCAAACCATGATATCCAATACTTGTATGATATTTGTCCATAAATGACATGAACTTTGTACCAGATTTTATTCAACGTTTTGCAATAAACTGATACGCTTGGAATTTGTTAAAAGAGATAATTTTCTTATGCGATTGTTAATACTCCACATTTTGAATTTAGCTGATCAGTACTGTTGATACTCCACAATTCGGATTAAGCTGATCCTACGTAGGTGTAAATTTGTAGTTAGATAGGCCGTATAATAGGTTTTTTTTTTTTTAATTTTTATTTTGAGGCAACGCCGTATAATAGTTTATCTTCACAAAAGTGTTTTTTTTTTTAAAAAAAGACTTAAAAGGCGACATTGTAAATTTATAAGTGATACATCCACAGATAAGACATTATTCAGTCAGTTCATCATATATACGTCCACGACTTGAAGTCAATGAAGAGGGTGACAGGGCAAGGTGATTCTATACAAATACTCCCTGCATTCCTCAATGTAGGCTCATTTGATATTTACACAATCTACAATTTGCATCTTTGAACCTCAATAACTTTAACTAAGAACAATTAAAATTATGAAAAACATAATTGAAACTTTGAAAGTTTAAATCGAGACAAATTATACAAGATGTCAATAAATATAGTCAGTCATTTAACTTTACCATAATAATTAGAAATAAGTCAAATTTTCAAGAGCAAAGGTACTACTATAAAAATCGATCCTAAAATTGCACACAAAGAATCATTATAAAAATTGATGTTATTAAAAAGTCATTTATAATATTTATTTTAGAGATTAATTGTAAATTAAAGGGAATCTAATCAGATTGTTCAAAATTATCTGATTTATGGTTGAAGATTGTCCGAAGTTAATAGGCGAAATTTATGAGTTAGAAAAAAATCTCTTTTATACATGAAAATCATACATATGATGATATTTTTCTAAACAATGCGAATGGAGAACATGTAATTGAGATTAAGATGGTGGCTACAGTTATGGACATTGTCAAGAGGAAAGAATCAAGGAAGCCAAATTTTACCAAACATACGGAAAATTACCAAAAACAGATAAAATTATAGAATTTGAGATCTTACTATAATTTTAGAACTTTATCTGTTTACGGAATTTTTCTAACTCAAAAATTTCAACTATTAACTTCGAACGGTCTTCAACCAAAAACTTCAACCCTTCAAGCCAAAAAAGCATACATTTCACCTGTTTGCCAAAAAAAGCATACATTTCACCTGTCTATCACCTACTTCCATAATTCTATGTCGAATAAAAATAAGAAAAAAATAAGAAATGGCACGTACCAAAATTGAAGTAAAAGCAACTGATTTTTTTCCAATTGACTTTGATCAAATCAGCTTCCAGCTATTTGAACATGTAAAAAACACAGGATGCAGATCTACTCGCTTGTCGAAAAATTACAACCATGGTATATGGTGATCATCCATACTGAAAGTTGAGCAGCAGTTGCAAGAGCCAATATGCCTCTTTAACACAAAGTACTCTCTGTTTTTCCATTAATAGTTGCTTAAGTTAAGCACATGCCAAAATCCATTTACATAATCAAAGCCCATTATGGATTACAGTGACAAATATATTTTTTCCAGAAGTATATCCTAAAACAAATGAAGACAGCTCTTTGAAAACTACTGTTTTGCCATGTAGCTAGAAAATCCGAAGTGAAATTTCCAGCAGTATACTAGTCTAAAGTACAGAATAAGAGGGTAGATTGACAAACTCTTCATTTTTTTTCTGCTGCTGCCCTTTTACGTATCTCATGAGCAGTATTAAAGATTCCTAGGGTAGGCTGGTTGCAGACGAAACACTTTTTGTTCTTGGCATGATGCTGCATTCAAGAGGAAAGCTCGAATTAGTAAATGATGAGACATCCAAGGGAAAGATCAAAAACACCATTGCACAACGTAAGAAGGTTAACTAACACAACCCAGCAGATAGAGTGTTTTCACAAGACCAACAAAGAATCATACCCAAAAGAACAGTGGCAATTGATATGAAACATAAGTACTAGTAAGCAATTAAACTGTTCAATTATGGCATTAATAGCTAGACAAGCCAATTATGTTTATACCCCCCTCCTCAGGATAGAATTTTTTATTGTGAAAAGAGAATTTACAGTTACATATATTTGTACCCTTAATTTCCCTATTGTACCTACATGGGCCACAGCTTCAATCCTAAATATCCCTGGTCAGCAAACACTACCAAATTCAGAAGAAAGACCAGATGTTGATGCCATGCCACTGAACATAAGCAGCAAGCTCCCACTTTTTTCTTTTTTCTTTTTTTTGGGGGGGGGGAGGAGGGGGGGGGAGAGTTATACGACAAACATTATTTTCAGTTAATTGTGTGGAAGAAAAAGTAGGTGCAAGATTTAAATAATTCCGATGAGGCTATGAAACATAGCCATAGCCATTGAACAGACATGTCCATCTGTGACAACCTTGCAGCCTTGCTGTTTCGTTTTACCTTCTACCAGACTACCACCCACTATTTTCCTCGATATTGTGCTAAGGCATAAACATTGCCAAGCTTTAGCTTCGTATAGCATTCATTGAAGCTTTTCCATACTTAAGGGACCCAAAGGCAAGTTCACAAAGTAAATAAAGAAATGAGAAATTTTAAAATTGCAAACCATTTGGCTCCAGCTACATATAGCTCATAAAATACAGCCCAATTTTCATCGAAAATTTCAATATCAAAAGATTTTCCATCAGTCCAAATATTCATTCATTTAAAAGATAGGTAAAAGAGTGATGGGAAACCTGCTTCTCAAACAGGGTGTGATGAGGATACAATAGAGTCAACTACATGGCACGAAGCCCTTTTATACCAAAGTTCAAAAGTCATCAGCAGCAAATAAAAATCAGAACTTATTACTAAAAACAGAGCATGTTATGCATAAATCATAAGCACTCATGGCAAGCATAATATCGGAAAAACAGATGAAAATTTTCAATTACCTTTAAAGCACAATGCTCACAGAAGTAGTGCTTGCATTTCGTCATTACTGGGTCGACAAAAGGTTCCCTACAAATGAAACAGGCAAATGGCAAGGAATCATCGTCATCTTCCGCGTCATGATCAACATCATCCTCATCACTGTCATGACATCCCATAGCTAAATTTCTCTTTCTAGCCTTTTCTGCTTCATCCCATTCTTTTTCCATCTGCCATCCAGACTTATAATCACCCCGATCATGCATAAACTTACATGAGTCACCATAGCCACAGTAGCCAGTTTCTTTGTAGTCCTTACAAATGTCTGGTTGGTAGTCAAATCTAGCAGATACTCTAATATGAGCTGAGGCCCTGAGAGGTCCGTGAGCCCCACCAGCTTTCTCAGCAGCAACAGTTTGCTCACGCCGGAAACCTGCTCTGTGATCAGTGTAACTATTCATACCCTTATATACCTTTTCATCACCAGATGTCTTGTTGATTTTTCCCTTCAACGCCTCCGCAGCTTTCATGAGAGCTCGCTCTCGAATAGCCCTGGAGTCTCTTGAGAAGTCTGTCTCAGTTTCAAGAGTAGCTGTCGCTTTGCTATCATTCTGCACCTGAATCTCTTTGGAAGACTCATATTGAAACAGCACATTTTTTTCATCCTTGGTTGATTCTTCAGACACTGTCCGCTTGGATGTCCCAGTAACAGGCCTTTTAGCAGAGTGTGTCAAAAAACTCTCCCCTTTATCGCCATCTCCAGCGTCAACTATCGGTCGTTTTCTCATATTTTTGTTCCCCATTGGTTTTTTAACAAAGCTGCACACTGCCCAAGAAATAGAAATTCAGCAACAATAAAAATATAAAACTGGAATAGGAGCAAATATATTGATACGCAGGAAAAGAATCAAACCTTGTTCAGTCTTCTTTTCATTTGCCTCAGACATACTAATTTTGAAGAATCTAGCTTATGCACAGAGCCAACAGAACACACCGGAAACTGCAAAATCGCAAAGGTGGGAAAATTAACAATTTGGCCAGCAAGAACTACCAATCAATCAATCAAAGCCTAAATCCCATAAGTGGGGTCAGCTACATGAACCAAATTTGATTATTCCGTGTAGCAAGAACTACCAATCAACATTCAAAAAACAAAATCTCACACTGAAACATGTACGAAGTATATCAAATCTTACACACCAATTCTAGCAGCATACACAAGAAGGTAATGTAACATTGTAGCCCAATGATTAAATGGCTAGTGTTGGCTAGTATTATACTTGTATAATTTTATTAAATTCATTATCCAAAAACTCATAAAACCAAAGAATATCGATTAAAATTAAGCCTGTTCAACAAGGCGAGTCCCTGTCTAAATCGACCTTATTATATCTTCCTTTTGATGACCGTATGCAATGATCATATTGAACAAAGCATAACAACACAAACAATAGTTCATAATCTAATTTCATATTCAATTATCTCATAATTTTAGGGACATTTGATTCAGTAATCTCATAATTTTCTTTTCTTTTGGTTATGATGTTTCATAATCAAAGAATATAGAACCAATAGTTGAGATTTACGAACCCTAAACTTAAAGCACTGATAATTAAATTAGATTAGATCAAATATAAACCCTAGATTGTGAAATTGATATGATGATAACAACAACAAACAACTTACCTTAGAAGCTGCTTCAATGGGGGATACAAGAAATAGATTCAACGGAGAACGTCAACTGCGCTTCAATGGAGAACGTTGAGTGCGCTTCAATGGAATAACTGAAAGAGGTAGGAATAGAGGCCTTGGAAGCCCCGCGTCTAATAAATAAATGGGGCCGTTTATACGATCGTCTAATTACGAAGGACAGAGGAGGGGTTTTAAGTAAACTTGTTTTAAGAGTATTAATTTTCGTTGATTTTTCCAGGTCTCAAACACTCTGTATAATTTTCACACACCAAAGCTTGTATCATTTTAAAACAGTCGGAAAAAAAAAAAAAATTAAACCTTACTCTCTCCGTTTCATATTAATCGCTACACTTTTCTTTACCTCCGTTTCGTATTAATCCACTTCCACAAATATTTTATTATTTATCCTTTTTACCAACCCTACTTACTAACGGAGGGTCGGAGGGAGTACCTTTCAAGATGTTTCAATGGAAGAAAGAAAGCTGCTTGAATGGTAAATTCGAGTAATCTTCAATGATTGTGAGACAAAGAGAAGGAGGGTTTTTCTAAACCCACGTTAATGTTGTACAATATTTTTCACCGTCAAACAACTCATTATTTATGCTCAATTTTTTTTAGGTTTAACTTACTTAAATAATTGTGGTAATTTATGTAAATAATATACTCCATAAGATATTTTCTCTGTTTCTTTTTAGTTGCATCACTTTCATAAAACGAAAATTTCAAATTAGTTGCATCACTTTCATAAAACGAAAATTTCAAATTAGTTGCATCATTTTTCTTTTTAATTACTAGTACTAAACTCTCTCTATCTCTTCTATCACATAGATCTAATTTTTATATTCTCTCTATTTCTCTTATCTCCAAAATTTCCACCAAAAATTGCCTTGAAAATAGAATTGAATTTTTTGAAATTTCACAACCGAAAATATCACTTGTATTAGATTAACTTTGATGTGGATGAATGATGTGAAAAATTAATACGGAATACCTAAAAAATAGTACATCCAACCATGCTCAAACACTAAAAAGGTGAAAACACATATGATGTACATCATGTTTTAAGCTAGGGAGTCAATGTTGTCGCATAATGAGGCTAAGCTTCGTATTTAGTTAAACTTATATTCAGTTTTGTTTACTTTAGTTTTCCCCGTGTGGGATTAACTCAATAAAAATAAGTTCAAATGAGTTTGATAAAGGTTAAAAAGGATATTAGTCCTTCAATCTTATCATATAAATTGATGAATTGAACACGCCTTTTTTTAAAAAAAAATTGAATTGAACACATCTTTTTTATCTTTATTAGTCCCAAAAATTACACATTAATACAAATCTCACTCAAACTCAACAAATAAGGTTAAATTTAATTAAATATTTGCTTTTTAATATCTAACTTTATTTTTTTTATCTTTAATTCCATAAATTACACATCAATACGAATCTCACAAAAATCATCAAATAAGATAAAAATTTAATCAAATCGGATATTCGGATTTAATCAAATACTAGTTTAAGTCCCGTGTAATGCACGGTTGTTATTAAATTTAATAAAGAGTTATTGTATTGAATTTTATAAGAAAATTATACTCATAATACTAATGTCAAGATTAGTGACACTTAGACTTGATTTTTTTTTTTTTTTTAAAAAAAAAAAAAAAAAAAAAAGGGTCTATGAGGTTTTATTTTAAAAAATAAAATTCTAAGAATGATACCCGCGTGTGCTGCTTTATTATTGATACGACTATTAAGAGTTGAAAAATAAAGTGTATATATATGTGTTAACAAAATAATTTTATTTTTAATTGAATTAAACATTATTGCAAAAGTAACAAAATTGGAAGACAAAAGAGTTAATAGTATTATCGAAAACTAAGATAATAGAGAGCAGTATTGTTTAATAATATTTACCTAATATACGTTTATTTTTTTACAAAAAAAAAATACCTAATATAAAATACTACGTATATGTAAAAATATATTAGTTGCGTTTATATTAAGAATTATTATTGTTAAGAATTTGAATTGGAAGAAAGATATTTTGGATTATTATAAAATAATTTCCCTAAAGAATCTGCATAATAACATAAAGTAAAATGGGCGGAAAATTTTTTAAGCAGGAGATGACTTATGTCATCACTGGTTTCACTTTTAGGGGCCGTTTGGTTGGGGTTAATAATCAAAGGGAAAGGGAATGAACATGTCTCATTCCTTTTGTTGTTGTTTGTTTGTCAATTTTTTCATTCCCTTTACCCATTTTTATTTTTGAGTTTACCCAAAATCAGTCTACATTGATTCCCCCCCCCCCTAGACTTTTCCATTCCTTTTCTTAAGCCACCACTACACCACCATACCCACACCGGCAACTAGTTACGTGGATTGCTAAACATCGCCCGCAAATCTCCACATAAAGCCCGCAAACTTATATTGAAGTTACAATATTGCCCTTGACCTTAAAAAAAACACAACCTCAATAAAAATCAAAGTACGGGGATGTCGAGGCTCGTGGCGGCAAGGTGGTTGGCTCGTGGCGGCAAGGTGGTGGTGGCTCGTGCCGGCAAGGTGGTGGTGGAGCCAGGTCCGGCAGCCACGTCCACCGGCCTGGCGTCTGGGCAGGACGCCCAGCCACGGTGAGTGGCGTTTAGGATAGGCGCCAGTCACTGTGGCTGGGCGTCCTGGCCAGGCGCCCCACCACCTTGCCGTGGTTGTTTTGTTATTTTTTTTTTGTTTTTTTGAATAATATTTTTTTTTTTGGAAATTAAGATTTTTTTTTCTATTTTTGTGTAATATCATGTTTTTTTTGTTGGAAATTGATAATTTTTTGTTTTATTTTTTTTGTGTAATATTTTGTTTTTTTTGTTGGAAATTGAGAAAAAAAAATTTCTTTTTTTTTAATATTTTGTTTTTTTTTTGTTGGTAACTGAGAAAATTTTTTATTTTGAATTTTAAGCAAGTTAAATGTAAAAATATATATATATATATGTATATTAAATGGCCGGACCACCACCCTGGAACCGGCGCCTGGCCGGGACGCCTCCACCATGGTGGTGGCGCCTAGCCGGGACGCCAGTACCATGGTCATGGCGCCTGGCCTGGAAGCCTCAACCATGGTACAAGCATCTTGGCTAGGCGCCACCGCCATGGTGGCGGCGTCCCGGCCAGGTGCCGGTGCCACGGTGGTGGCGGCTCCTCCGGACGCCAGCCATCTTTTCCGATGACATTCGTCGTCCCCCGGATCTCCAGCCTCCCCCGACGTCCCCGTACGACTCCACATTTTTCGGTGAGTGAAATTTTCGTTTTCAGAGAAAATTGACAAAGGGGCAAAACTGTCAAATCATATTAATTTTGTGGGCTTTATGTAGTAATTTGTGGGCGATATTTAACAAATCCCCTAGTTACCCCCACTGCCCAGCCACCTCGCCGGAACTCGCAGCAGCTTCCCCACCCCTCGTCGGAATTCGCCGCAGCTTCCCCACTCCTCGCCGGAACTTGTCGCATCTCCATTTCTCCTCACCGGAACCCACTTTTCACCATCGGGTCAATCTCTCTCCTCCTTTTCACGACGACGCTTTTGCACTTCGACCCATTTTCTCTGTCCTCCCCCCCCCCCCGATTCTCACGGCGGGTCGACTAGATCCAAAAAGCTGAATCTCATGATTTGCATTCTCTTTCTTCGACTAGACCCAGAAATCGAACCTCAAGACAAAGCAAGATTGAGTTTTCTCAAAACCTTAGCGGCTAGGGGAAGGGGCGGCCGACGATTTTAAGGGGAGGAGATCGTTTTCTAGGGTTTTGCATGGGCGGGGGAAAGTTTTGCGTGGCGGCAAGGGGTGGAGAAAGTTCGACGACGGGCGCCGAGGGGTGGGGGAGGTCGTGGCTGGGGGGTGGAGTGGCTTAAGAAGTGGGGAAGATGGGTTGTGGGGTGGTGGTGGTGATTCCCTTTGTTTTGTAAACCAAACAACATACTATATGGAAAGGGTTTCATTCCATTCTCTTCGTTCATTCCATTCCGTTTACCCTATACAAACCAAACGGCTCCTTAGTATATAGCTATTCACGATTGATTGATTCACAAACAAATCAAACATTGCATCGGATGATTGAACATAGCCTAACACACCAAACAGATCTCAGATCAAAGAAATCTCTAGTTAAACTGGGCTGAAATTCACAACTGGCCCAAACCTTTAACCCCTAAAAATGACAACCAACATATGATAACTGACAAGTCCACGAAGTTTCCCAGTTTTTTTTCCAGAACAAAACAAAACCAAAAAATTAAATAAAAACTAAAAAAAAAAATCTCAAAATTATTTAATTTTATCACGAGAAAATAAAAAAAGAAAAAAGATAAGTAGTACGGAGTAATTCAACAGAAATTTGTCTCCTCTATATCCTCATATTCCACCCCACCATCTTCTCTCCTCTCCTCTCCTCTCCTCTCCTCTCGTTTTCAATTCTCAGATCGGATCAAGCATTTCATCAAACATCTTCCGATCATCTCAATCACCATGTCAACCGCTGTCTTTAACGGCGATGAAACGGCGCCGTTCTTCGGCTTTCTCGGTGCCGCTGCTGCCCTAGTTTTCTCCTGTAAGCAATCTCAGATTCAATTTTAATCAATTTTTCAATTTTTTGATCTGGGTTTTTGGCATATCAATTATATTCATCTTTGATTACAAAAAGTTTTAATTTTTTTGATCTGGGTATTTAGTATTTCAATTTGATTTACCTCTGATTATATAAAGTTTCAATTTTTTTGATCTGGGTATTTGAATTTGTTAAATTGAAGGTATGGGAGCAGCTTATGGGACAGCAAAGAGTGGGGTGGGAGTAGCATCAATGGGAGTAATGAGGCCAGAACTTGTGATGAAGTCAATTGTTCCAGTTGTTATGGCTGGAGTTTTGGGTATTTATGGGTTGATTATTGCTGTGATTATTAGTACTGGAATTAACCCTAAAGCTAAATCATACTACCTTTTTGATGGTTATGCTCATCTTTCATCTGGTCTTGCTTGTGGTCTTGCTGGTTTGTCTGCTGGTATGGCTATTGGTATTGTTGGTGATGCTGGTGTTAGGTAATATATACTTCTCTCTCCTTTGACCGTTTTGTTTTGACTTTCTGTTTGTTGATTTGGATTTGTGATTTTGGTTTGGTTTGATTTGACTTGAATTTTTAGTTGTTTTG